GAGAGAGAGAGAGAGAGAGAGAGGGGGGGGAGGGAGAAATAGGGAAAAGGTGTGGCTGTTAATTCGCTCGTTTATGCGCGTGTGCTTATTCAGCGGTACGTGGAATTACATTTTTTTTATTTCCATTTGTCTCACTATCCTTTGGTTTTGTGTTTTCTTCACTGAGCGGCTTTTATGGGTGGTGTAACTGAAGATATATATTTATACCTATCTGTGCGTTGGTGCGGGTTCGTGTATGCGCCGGATCTATCCCTCAGGCGTTTCTCAGTTTGATCAATGCGCATGTGTGGGTGTGGGTGTGGGTGTGTGTTCACAGCTGCTGCTGTGCTATCTTGTTTGCTCTCGCTCGCTTTCCTTTCCCCTGTGCTGTGGGGGAGAGAAGGCGGTTACACCCATACACGTGTGCCTACATTCATGCACTGAGACAATGAACGCGCCTTCTCTGTCGTGGTATTAGAGCGGCTAGGATGTGGCGTGGAGTTCACCGATGGTTTTTTGTTGTTGTTGTTGTTTTTTTTTGCGTTTGAATCAGCTGGGTACTCGCCTTGATTCCACCACTTTTGTTGTTTCTTTTGTGTGTTTTGTTTGTTTGTTTTTTTTTTCGTCCTGTGCTCTGCTGCCGTGGCATGCGCTCTGCATCTCATGCCTCACCCAGCTGTGCGGGTGTGGCTGTGGGTGCTTGCGCGGATGCATGTTCCTTCCTCGGTCTGCGTCTGCGTGTGTGTGTGTGTGTGTGTGTGTGTGTCCGTCACGGTCCCTCAGTTCGCGCCGTTTGTTTGTTTGATCCCTTCTTTGCTTCTTTCTTTTTTCTTTGTTGCTTGCTTGCCTGCTCCATTGCTCCGCCGGGCTCTGATGACCTGCCCGCCTGGTGTGGCCTCTGCGCCGGCTCCAACGTGTCGTCGTCTCTCTTTGCTTCTCTCACCTGATTAGTCAAGTTGCACGATCAGAAGCGCAGCGTCCAATCTGTGGGGAACAGCCAGAGGGCCGAGAAACAGGGCGGGGAACTAACGGTAGGGACACACATACGCACTCGCACCCACTCACACACGCCACAGCAGCAGGTATAGCCTCAAGAGCAAATCCGGTGTGTGCGTGCGTGTGTGTGTGTGGTTTGTGTGCCTGCTTGCCTGGGAAGGAGAGACGAAGACGGTTCTTCGCGAACTACGAGATAGCACACAAATAAAAACAAAAAAGGGAAAAAGAAAAACGCACGCCGAGGCAAGCGGAAACCGGAGGCAGCAACAATAACAGAAGGACTGCGTGTGAACAAAACGCAGGCGTGGTAGGAGGGTGTTTTGCTGGTGAATGAGTACATTTCAGATGAGTCACTCCCGCAGCTCCGGTGGCAAGTCCTCCAAGGCCAAGAGCTTCTCGTCCAAGGGCAAGATCGAGAAGTACAACCAGGACGGCACTGAGACGATTATCGTCATGGGCCGCCCGTTCCGCGTTCTGCAGCGCATCGGCGAAGCCACCAATCACACAAGCAGCAGCAAGGAGCGCAGCAGCAAGGGCGGCAAGGACAAGCGCTCGTATGTGTTCCTGGTGGAGAACACCGAGAACCTGCCAGAGTTCCCGCGCCACCTCGCGTTGAAGCGGTCCTTCTTCAACGTGAACGAGGTGCTGGTGGCGCACAGGGAACCGGAGGTGCTTGGCCGTGTGAAGGACAAGGGCATCGTGCGTGTCTTTCACTCTGAGGTGACCCGCAGTGATGGGCGACTCGGCGTGACGGTCGCGATGGAGTACTGCAGCAGTAACCTCTACCGCCGCCTTCGACAAGAGACGCGTTTGTCGGAGGGGGAAGTTGTGCAGGTGCTGTTAGCCGTCACGAGTGTAGTGGGCTACCTGCACTCGCGGCAGCCGCCTATTGCCCATCGTGGCATTAGCCCCGACAATATTTTAATTCACTCTGGCGCAACAGGTGCGGCGGCGTATCGTCTGTGCAACTTCAGCAGTTCCACGACGGAGGCGTATGAGTGCGAGAACCGCGAGGAGGTGGCGCTGGCAGTTGAGGACATTGAGCGGCACACAACTGCGGCCTTCCGTGCGCCAGAGATGGCGGATCCGGGAAGTCGCAAACGCATCGACGAGCGCGTGGATCTCTGGTCGATTGGAGTCCTCTTGTACTATATGATGTACTTGCGGCTGCCGTTCGGTGAGACGAACATGGGGCTGACGGGGAGGCTCAAGGTGCGCTACCCCGCGGGCACTGACACGTGGTACACCGGCTCGCTACGTGTTGCGCTGCAGCACCTGCTAGAACCGGACCCGGAGAAGCGGTGGGACATCTTCGCGCTCACCAATTTTCTGCGCTTCGATGAGGACATCAGCAGGCACATCGGCACCTTCATCTTCACCGCGACGGAGTGGCCCGATGGGTGGGAGCAGCAGGACGTGAAGGTGGTGAACCGCCTACCGCCGTCAAAGGCGCCGCCAGTACGGTTGGAGGGCGGCCGCACGGCGGACAATGATGCAGAGAGCCTGTCGCAGTCAGTCACACAGCGTCAAGCGCCGTCATCTTCGTCGCAGCAGCAGCATCATGTGGAGTTGGATGCGGACGCCCTGGCGGCCCTAGGCTTGGATCCAAACACCAGTGATCCCGAGATGATTGCGTACCACGAGATGCTCATCCGTGAACAGGAAGAGGCCTGGCAGCAGGCCAAGGCGGCGGGCCAAGCCGGGAGACAGAAGGCTACCGAAGCCGCCCCCGCGAAGACAAAGTCACCCCAACAAGAAAATACGAAGGCAGATGACGGGCAAAAAAAAGAGCAGCAGCAGCAGCCACAGGAAGCGCCTGAACCGCCCAAGCCCGNCAAGAAAATACGAAGGCAGATGACGGGCAAAAAAAAGAGCAGCAGCAGCAGCCACAGGAAGCGCCTGAACCGCCCAAGCCCGAAACTAAAGACATCTTTGATGATTTGTTCGACAGCACTCCAGTACCAGCACCGCAGCCGGCCGCCGTTGCTCCTCCTCTTACTGCGAGTTTCTCGGTACCCGTCTCATCTTACAGCGCACCCCCTGCCCAGCCAGCGGGGGCACCCAATGTAGCGTGCGTCGACACGAAGTGGCAGAACTCGCTCTTCGGTAGTGCACTACCAATGCATCCGTCGCACCAGCAGCAGCAGCAGCAGCAGCAACCGCCGAACGCTATGATAATGGAAAATGGTTGGGGGACAGGGGCCCCAACGATGCCACCTAGCGGACATGGCATGGAAGGGATGTACACTGCTTCACAGGCATCGGCGATGATGCCCTTAAATCCACAGCAGCAGCACCAGCAGCCAATGCAAATGCCACAACAGCAACAACAACAGCAGCAGGTCCCTCCGGCGTGGGGCANTAAATCCACAGCAGCAGCACCAGCAGCCAATGCAAATGCCACAACAGCAACAACAACAGCAGCAGGTCCCTCCGGCGTGGGGCAATGGTCCGGCCCCTGTGCCGCCGCCGCAGCAGCAGCAGCAGCCGGTGATGCAGCAGCCTGTTCCCCTGCAGGCCACATTCGACTTCACCAAAGGCAGTTTCCCGCTGCCAGAGGCGCCCGTAGCGGTGCAGCCAAAAGTGGAGAAGAAAAAGGATCCCTTTGAGGATCTATTCCAGTAGAGTCATATCATGGCGAAATTTTGGGCAAGAGGAAGGGAAAAAAAGGGAAGGAGAATGAGAAGACTCCAGCCCTCACTCATGCGGACATGTTTCTGTAATTTCCGTTTTTAGACCCCCGATGTAATGCAGCGTGGTGGTGGGAATGGGGAACTGAGCCCCATGCTCTGCAGAGGGGAGCGGGTATGACAATGCAGGAGGGCGGCGCGCACGAGTGGAGAGAGGGAAAGAAAAAGAAACAACTTCGATGGACGCGAGATCAAATGAGGGGGTGGGAGATGTGGACTGCGTGGCGGCGGTAGTGGAATGGTTGTAGGAAGACGTGCGTGTGTGGCTGTGGCTGTGAGGGTAGTTGAAGGCATGGACAAAGGGAAAATGGAATGGGGGAAATTGAACGGTTTGTTGCTTTTCCCCCCGTTTTCGTTTTTTTTTTTTCCTCTTCCTCCTTCACTGTGGTTTTCGTTTGTTTGTTTTTCAGTTTCCATCGCCCGTTGCACCTTTGCTCTGTTGCTGTTTGTTTGTTTTTTTGCCGATCTATCATTGCTTGGGGGGTGCTCTTTCTTGTCTGTGTGTGTGTGTGTGTGTGTGTGTGTGTGTAGGAGCAATAATAGTAATGCTTTCTAGATATATATATATATATATACACCGTCCAATATCACTCTCTGGCGTTTGCCGCTGCCGTTTTCTTCTTTTTTTTTACCGCAGTGTTGGCTCTCACTTTATTTTTGCCTCGAGGTGGTGATGGTCTTTGGCAAACGTAGGAGCCAGTCGTTGTGTGACCCGCAATCGTGTTGGAAAGGCGTTGCGATGTCTGTGTCAGGTGTGGGGCGGCGTGATTGTGATTGTGCCCATATATGTGTGTGTGTGTGTGTGTGTCTTTCTCTCTGTCACGACACCACTATATTCCCCCTCCCTCTCCCGCGCGCTATGTGTATGTGTGTGTGTGTGTGTGTGTG